CTTTTTACTGTAATTATACTTACTAAATGTAATTATACTTACTAAAACCTAGCTTTAAAGGATCACTTTGTAAATTGGAACTATAAACAAATGTAAAGCCTTCTTCAAGGAAATCACGCATAAGAAATACGATTGCTTGTAGTGTTGTAATTAGAGCACAAGAAGTTTGTTTGCTTAAATTATTTATCAAATTTTATTTTGATCAAATTTCAGTACAATTTGCAATTTCTCTATAAAGTGTGGGTTTGTTATCACCTTTCAAAGCAACACTGCTGAGTTTGATTGGATGAATTAAGTTTCTGCTTTGAATTAAGTATGATAAATAACTTATAAAACAATGATAAAAATTGTGCTGCGTTATTTCTTTCAGAAAAATAACTCTAAATTACAGCTGCAGTTGTTTCGTCAAATATTGTCAATGTTGACAACTTGTTTGTTGTTTCTAAAATATGTGACTTGATATTTAATTTTTATTGCTTTTTCTTGCCTGTTTAATAACTGATCTTTTTATAAACTTTAAGAAATATATTCCCTGTAATGTAATTAGCAGTAACTTCAACAAGAAAAAAAAAAAAAACCGAGAATAACAAGTATGTTTTAAACACTCCTTTTCTAAACTAAATGATAAATTTTCCATCTCCAGTATATGCTTTATTAAACGACAAAAATGCATTAACATTTGTAGAATGGTTATCGGTAACAACAGCTCTTATCTTAAATTCAGATTGGTGCATTGAGGTAATATACTCATCAATTTCTTTTTTCAAACATAAACTAGTTATGTAAACTTTAGATGAGGATTTCAAAAAATAAGAATAAAATTTTGAAGCCCTACAATCTTAAAAACAAAAAACTTCTTTAAAAACTTCTTTAAAAAGATTATTTTCTCAATCTTTATCAAACCACTTACCACTTTGATAATGGGCTGCTTTTTGGAAGTACATCTTACCCACAAGAAGCAAATAATCTCTTGATACCAAAATTTTGTCAATGATTTTTCTAATATATTATAGTTTTTCAATTTGTAATTTTCACCACTGCAAAACCATTTTAGTAAAGAAATATGATAAGCATTTATTTGGCAATGAAAAAAATTAAAAATCTATTAACAGCTATTGACTCCAAAACAGTTGGTATGCCTGATATTTCTTGCCTACTGTTAATAAATGGCCTGATTTGTTGCATTTTAATTACTGTATGTTTGAGACATGCAGCATGATAAAGTATTTACATTAGAAAACCTTGTTTTGCAGTGTAAATATTTTAAAGCAAAGTTTATGTTTTCTACTTAATAATTGCAATTATATTAAATACAAAATTACAAACCTTTAAAATTATTTCCAATGGAGAATTTTGAGGAGTTTTACCAATATGTAAGATTAATTTTAGTAGCATGTTGGTATGTGTTGATATAGCTATCTGAAAGCCTATTTCAGTATTCTTTGTTATTGGAATAAACTGAAGCAGGCAATCGGTTAACAAAAAAACTAGCACAAAACAATGTAAGTTCTCAAAGAAAATCTAACTATCATTAAACCATTTGAATAAAATAAAGATAAAACAACTCTAGTGCAAACAAGACTCTTATCCATAACAAAAATGAAGTTTTTATGCTTGAGCCGTAAAAAAACTTTTTACGGAAATTGCAACAAATCAGGCCGTGTAATTTAAGTAGGCCATGGGTGGGGTAATCAGGAAACTTAAAGATATTATGGTACTATAAAATTATATTTGAGATAATAAGAGTAGTTGACTCGCATATAAACGCGCATTTAAGAATGAATATATACTCATTTAAGAATGAATAAATACGCATTTTATAATGAACAGATGCGCATTTAGTGATGAATAATCCTGTAATATCCTTAAAAAGATCCTTGCTGGCACAAACCATCCAATAACCACTAAATTACCTCGCACCAATACAAGAAACCCCAACAGATTCCCATTCGCTCTAAATACTGCAATCACTACCAGCAATTTGTTATTTAAAAAATACCTATGTATTCTTCGCAATGGTATCAGTGATCTCAACCTCTCACGAAACATTCGCTGCCTTTTCAACAAATAAATGATCAGTTTTTTTTCCTGATATATATATATATATATTTGAATGTAAATTGTAACGTTTGTTAAACAAACTTTTTATAACGTACGGCACATGAAACTATAATTTCATAGAAGCACATACACAACCTTGTGCGTTGATAATTAAGTTGTAAGTTGTCTTTGGTTAACCGAACCTATTTTATTTTCAATTAAAAATTTTATATATCAATAACTTATCGCATGTTCAAAACTTAGAGAAAGTTAGGAAAATATCAGGTAATATGAAAGAGAAAGTTAGGAAAATATCAGGTAATATGATTTTTAAACTAGAAAGGTCCCATTTAATAGTAAATGTTGCGTGATCACAAAGACATCAGTGTCATAACTGATAGTTACAAGGTTTTTTTCTTCGACTTTAAAGAGAACAATTGATGAACATAACAGTGATTTTGATGAAGAAAATAGCAATGGTCAAATGAATCAAAAGAAAAAATATGATTGTTTGTGTCAAACAAGTAAGTGTCTTAATTTAAAATAAATTTTCACGAAAACTGTACATTTTTTTACAAAAAGTTTTAGGTGAAAAAAGTTTCAGGATTTTCAAGGTAAAATAAACTTTAAATGCTCTTGTTAATAGTTTTGTGAGAATATTTTATAAGTTTAAACATATAAAAGATTTATTTTCAGGAAAACTTTGCAACCAAGTAAATCAAGAATTTGTGAAAAAAAGCAATGTTCTCCATGCTTATCTCATGTAGTTCAATTAAAATAAAAAAATAAAAAATAATAAAAATAAAGAAAAACAATCAGAAAATTGATTTTAAGAAACTTTATACATTTATACCTCATTTGAATAAAATGAGTAAATGGATTTCTATTTTCTCAAGCAAATATGCTTCTTTAATTAATAATAATAAATAATTATCCAAAATCATTTGACGCGGTCCGCACACTTATTTTTACGATGTAGGGAAAAAAATAAAAAATGGTAGCTTCTTATTTTGATAAAGTATCAACAAGTGTTTTATATTTTAATATTTATACTTTTTCTGGCCAGATTTTAAAAACGCTTTAATTGTATTGTGCTTCTGCTTTACGCTTTATAATAATATTAAATCAAAAGATTCAAGTTTCCTACTCAAATACTATCGTTTACTATGATTAGAAAATGTAAAAAAAGTATATGAAGTTGTTTAAAAAAAGAGAGATAAAATTCAATTAATTTGCCAGACAATATAACTCCAGTTTAACAATAAGATAAAAGATGTGAAAAAAAAAACTGACTAGCTAAATTAAAACTTGAATCAATCTTAAAAACAAAGTGATATACTAAAACAAAAATACAATTTAATAAAGAGAAAATTATAGTTATGAAAATTATATATACAAGTTCAAAAGTAAATTTTTCAAAATGTTAAATATGCTTTTATCTTTAAAAAATTACAATGGGAGAAAACTTTAAGTTTTTATAAACTTCATTAATGGTTTTAACATAACAAACCCAGATTGCCAAATTTGACTTTTAACATAGCAAAATTATATTTTAAAACATAATTTTAAAATATTTTAAGCTTTTTATTGTCTTACAACCATATATTTAATTTACTGTTTCTTCAACAATTACTAATAAAGTATTATTTTGTTTAATTTAAATATGTTTGATGTATTGGTCTCTAGCAAGTATGATAAAAAAAGCACTTTTTTGTGAGTATTTGTAATGTAAATGACATCCAGATGATTTGCGTTCAAATTTCAATTTTATATGTATAAAATAAACACGTTACAACTAAAAAGCCATTTGTTACAAATGTTACTTCAATTTCTAAACAATTAATGAAGCATCATTTTAAAAATAGTTTAGTTCTGGATTTGCTAATATAGCAATTACGTTATCTTTTTTATTTTATTTTTTAGGGCTTAGTTAATCTTAAAAAATGGTTAAAACTTGTAACTGTTCTGTTCAAAATAGAGCCTTAAGTTTTCCTTTTATATTTTTTTTAATGCAGTTAGTGTCTTATCATTATTGTGTTTAAAAACACAAAAGTGAAAGTAAGCAACTAAGTACAAAACTTACTAGAACAAACAGGACTGCTTCAATGTTCTCTTTTAGGATTAAATCAATCAAAAAGTAAATCAACTGATCTTAAGTAATCACTATATAATTTTATTTAATGCACGTAACGTAAATACAGGTAACTACTTTATTTTGTAACTTAGTGGCATTCTTTACGCTTTTTCAGAAAGTCTGCAGTTCCCTTCCTTTTTATGGTCACAAAATTTGTAAACGATATCTTCACTAACTTTCTTAAAACACCTTGTTTGATAACAATTCAGCTATAATTTAAGGCATTTTAAGTGAGACTGCATTGAAAATACGTGTTTGTTATTCAATAACATTATTCAGTAGCCAATTAGGCTTCAGGTTTTTTTTAGCTTTAAATAACGTAAATACATTTGCATTTTGTTTCGCAATTCCTCGAAAGTACCACATAAGACTTTTTGTCTTAATCTTTTATAATCATTTAAGTTTTTAATCGTGATGTATTAGGAACTAATAGTAGCAACGACAGTATTGTTTAGTTGTTTTTTTAATAACAAAGTTACCATCTTTACTTTTTCTACATCGAATTAATTTCAAAACCAGGCCTCTGAAATGAATTTGGCAAAATGATTTTGTTTTTTTAACTCAAATTGATATTGTTACTGTAAGCATTAGATAAGATTTTTATACCATATTAGTTACTTTAAATAAGTTAATCTTTCCAAGTAGAAACAGTTCTATTCTAATATCTATTTAAATATTATCTTGGTATATTTTCTATAACCTTTGAAATAAAGCTTATTTCATTGTGGTAAACAAAGTTGAAAATCTTTACTCTTAATTAAGAATCTTGAAGTAAAGTTTATAATACATAGTTAGATTTTTTACTTTACTTATTTTTTAAGGCAATTTAAAAACTAATAATTTCTTGTAAAATAATACAATCTGAAGTTATAAAATACAGTTCCATTTTTAATACTATAAAAACTGTCATAGTATCCAAAAGTGATTGCAAATATGATAATCACTACAAAATGGTTTATGTTTGCAAAATTATGATCGTCACAGGTAAACATTTTTAAAAAGTATTACGCTCTGAACCACTAGTCAATACTTAAAAAAACAAACAAGTTTTACTGTTTTTACAGAGAGCATAATTGATGTCAAAATAAAACTAAATAAAAAGCCTAATTTTTGCAGCACCTAGTAAGCATTGTTTAATACCCATCGATTCAGGTCATCTTCGTTTTTTTTCTTCCACTCCAACTTTGCTTTGATGTTTTCTATGGACTGTTTTACTGCTTGCTTTCCACTTTTCAAGTCCATATTGTTGTTGAAAAAAAGTTCTATATCTCTTAGATCTTCATTTTTAGTAAAACTGTTAATTACACTGCTAAATAACTTTGGTAAAAGAAACAACTCGTTTCCATACCTTTGTAGAAGCATGTTAATGTTTTTCTTTATAAAATTCCATGTTAACTCACGACCAATGCGACTGTTACTTGCAATGTTACCTAATACATAAGGCGTGTCTTCTGATCCAATTATATTTGTATCAAGAGTGTAGTTTAAAAGTCTACAACAAAAAAATAATAATAATAATAAACATTTTGCGCATTTTTTAATTAGTTAAATATTGACAATACCTTTGCAAAATTGTTTTGTTTTTCGTTTCCGTCAAAGACATGAGAATATTATATTTTTCAGTGCCGCTGTTTAAATAGTTTTGGAATGCATACTCCCAAAATTCGAGTGTACCATGTGATATCGCACAATTACGTATTATAGAATGAAGATCATATCTCACTTTAATATCCTCCCCTTTCATCCAATTTCTACAGAATAAAAGAGATATATATATACTTTTATTTGTATATTTTGCATTTTGTATTTTTTTTAATTATATATTATCAGAGCAATATTTTTTAGTGGAGAGTGTGTATAATAGAGCCAGGCTTTGAAAGAGCCGATGCAATTATTTTAAACTTACCGGCATACAACCTTAATTGTGTTTTACTCTTTGTATGGCAACACTGGATAATTGTCATTCAAAAAAAATTCTATTAAAATAAATGGCGTCGTAAATTTTTAAGATAAAAATTGTAATGAGCGTTGTAAAATATAATCGTATAAGGCTCATAAGATTATATTCGAAAAAGTGAGTAAAAGTTTTTCAAAAATTTTAAATTATATATTTCCATATCTTATATTTAAAAAGTTTCATGCAGAAATAGTCATGACAATGTTTGTTATTTTTATTTGTTATTTATTTTATCAATTATTGGATAATATTTTTGCAAATAATTTAAAATTACGTTGAAGAGACTTTTCTTAGTAGGCAGATGTCAAAGTTTATTTTTGATGAAAAATATATGCTACAAGTTTTCGTATGCGCAATAAGATTGTTTTCATTGTTTTGAAAAATGAACTTAAAACTCTCGAAAGTTAAATTTGATATCATGAACTTAAGAAATATTCTGGTAAAACTTTTTACGCTCATCAAGAATCTTTTTTCAAAATTAAATTCGCTATTTAAGAAAAAAAAGTTATGAGTAAAAACGGAAAAGGAGGATTGTTGGATTGAATGAAATACGCTAATAATAAGTAAAGCTCACTTCTTAAATGCAGCTTTTTTCTATTAAATCTCAAGTGACCAATAAATCTCCAACTATAAATTTTAAAAATTTATTGAAAAAGTTTTTTCAATGAAATTTTCCTGAATGTAAATAAAAGACTTTCACTGACTGACTTTTTAATTGCGATTTTTGATTATTTGTTTGTTTGTTTTTTGTTATTTGTTTTTTGTTATTTGTTTTTTGTTATCCAAGTAGACCTCTCGGTCTTGTCACAGAGCACCGTGGAAGTTCATTTAACCAGGAAGTTCACGCCTCCTTCTTTACCATGATGCGAAATTATGTCTAGAGAACCTGGATCTCTTGCTTATAAAGCAAGCGCTCTAACCAAAGCACCACGGCCTCACATTTTTAATTATTGTTATTGATTGCTTTTTGCTTTTTTAATAAAACGTTGTTTTAATTACACATATGTTAGCGTATTTCGTTGCCTCTAAATATCAGTGTAGAATGAACAAATTTTTTTTTGATTAAGTTTTATAAAAAACTTAAAAATTATTTGGTTCTTATATATTTAAATACACCATTTTTAAATATTCTCTACAACTCTCTGCAAAAAATCTTTTTTCATAAAAAATAAATAATCAAAATCCTTAACTATTCCATTATACTCTATTACTTAAGTAAAAGACTTTTAGATTTTAAAAATAATTTCAGTGCTTTTAAGTGACATACGTCTGCAAAAGTCAGGTTGCGTCACTGAACTTAAAGATAAAAAAATTAAGGTTAGAGGGTGAGATTTTTAAAAAAGTTCTAAAATAAAGAATGACTTTGCTTTCACTCAACAAAAAATAGTTATTAAAAAACTTAAAATTAAAGTTTTCAAACTGTTGCGTCACTGAACCTATCAATGGTATAATTAGCGTTTTAATTTTAAATTAAAAATCTAAAAACCAAAACTAAAATTAAAATTTAGTTTTGTTTTTCAGTCATATAAGTTTTGCATTTTAATATCTTGATGTGCTATAAATTATTTTATATATATAGATTTATTGTTTGCGTTTTCATAATACATTTTTAGGAAATGGAATCCAAATTAGAAGGAAAAAACGTTATGAACACCAAACTTATAACGAAACTCGAAGTCCTGACAATATAAAAAGAAAAAGAAAAGTCCTGACTATAAAAAGATCTGAGGATTCTAAAAAGAAAACTTATAATCAATCTAAAAGACAAAACTCATCTCAACAAAGAGGAAATGCGATGAAAATTTTGTTTGAAGCACTATGGGATTATTAAATAGTTCAGCTGGTATAGCTGTATAGACTTTCTAAAAATGATGATTTATCAGTTGTAAACTTTTATAATGAAAATGCAGTTTCCCAAAAACCACTCAACTAAAAAGAATTCATACAGATTCAATTGTCTGACGAAAAACAAACAATATTCAGAGCTGGAGACTCGAGTCAATCGACTCGAACTCGAGTCTGATCTAAGTCATACCCGTGACTTTGAGACTTGGGTTTTGCCTTGAAATTTGCGACTTGACTCAATTTTGGCAAAGTGACTTTATAATTATTATTTTCCGTCTCTTCAAAAATGGAGCAATTTTTTCATTTTATTTCAGTTCTTTTAAACTATTTTCTATTTTCGAATGTTTGATTCTTTTAACTTTTAATACTTCTTAACTACGCTGAGTTGTCTCATTTCTTTTCTCTTTTTTTTCTTTTGTTTTGATTTGGTTTTAAATTTTTTTTGATTTTATTTATCTATTTTTTTTCTCTTAACTCTCTTCATTTTTGCTTTATTTATTTTTATTAAAAACTCCCAATAACCCTTGTATTCATTTTTTTAACTTTTATGTATTTTATTTATAAAACTCGTTATAGAAACGCATCCGCCATTCTGGAAGTTTCTACACCGCTGTTCTAATTCTAAGTACTCTAATGTGTGTTTGCTACCGATTTCGGTGATTTGTAAAGTTTTAAAAGTTAACTTAAAACTATGAGTGCTATAAAAATTCAGAAAACGCCTGCAGTGCCTGGAGTAGTTAATTTTGGTTATCCAGAGTTAGAGAAAAAGAAAAGAAAATACTAGATCGGCACGATGTAAATTTTGTCAAGCTTTATTTGCCAGCGGAGTTGCGACTACAACCAACTTCATTAGCCGTTTAAAAAAACATCGAGCAAAATATGCATTATATCAAAAGTTTGCTGAGACAAGACCTGCGGCTGCTTCACCTTAATTTAAAATTTCAGAGTTTTGAGCAGGTTTGGTTATTTACTATTATTATTAATTTATAATTATTTTAATAGATATTTTAAATATATAATATATCTTTTTTTTTTTTTTTTTTAATTAAGTTAATTAAGGTGCCCCGAAAAGTCCTTACGGTCTTATCGCAGAGCACCGCGGAAGAGCTTTTAATAGGAAATTCACGCCTCCTTCCTAAACGATGTCGCAAAGCTTGCCCAGAGGTGGGGTTTGAAGCACGTATCTTACGTTTCTGAGGCAAGTGCGCTACCACTGCGCCACGGCACCTATATCCACAGGTCCGCTCGCTCTCCGCGGTAATCCTCTACCTCAAGTAGGTTAGTAATCTAGAATGACATCCCAACAGTTCTTAAAGTTCTTATTAGCTTGTAAAATAATAAGTCGCAGTGTCGCATTACATCTGACGTCCTAACCCTAAGCATTTAAATAAAGCTTCAAGCTTAAATTATAAAGCTTAGCGTTAAGGATATTTGGTTATTATATTATAGATTAAAAAATAAGAATAGCATTGTGTTTATTATTTGAAGTTGCTTTTGGAGAGAGTACTACTAGAACATATGGCTGCATCCACACCAACGATTAAAAATTTGCAGCCGTTGTGAAACGTCTAGTAATTGCTGCATCACTACCCGTTCCTATTGTAGAAAGTAAATATTTTAGGCATAAAAATAATGTTCTTGTGCTGTATTAGCCGTTCAGTGCTCTATTAGCCGTTCTGCCGTAAAAAACTATTTAGAGTAAATGTACATGGATGCAAAAGAAAAATAATTGAAAATTTATGTCCAGATGCAAGCATTTCCTAAACACTTGATATATGGTCAGATAGAAAAATAAAGGGATAACTTGCACTAACAGCGCAACAAGGTTGCAAGCAACCACTATAAGAGTTGGAAGTTACTAGAAGAGAAAAGATGAAGATTGTAGAGCAAGATAACGATTGACAGAAAACTTAAAAGATAGCAAATTATATGAACCAGGAAAGCAAGATGAAGGAACGAATTCCAAAAAACTGATGAAAAAAACTAGAGAAATAAGAATTTTTTAAAGCATAAGGGAATAATCA